TGTTTGACAAAATTTGTCTGATACGCATAATGTTTGACAAAAAAAAACAAAACATCATAACATCATTACACATTTATTTGGAATTGGCGTAATCCAACTTAAGCTTAGCCAATTCGTCTGATAACTGCGCCTCCTGCAGAGGATCATGAGCTGTTAAACCCTGCAGAGTCCTCGAGGTAAGAGTCAAAGCACGGTCCATCCACTACAAAACAAAAAAATAAGAATAAGAATATATGCTCATTATTTATTAAAATAAAATTTATTCTAATCAAATATTATTAATTAAAAGCTTGCGAATATCTTACATAGTTGGTGTTCCCACGCGTAGGGACCTCTCTCTCGTCAGGCAGACCCTCACCCAAGACAGTAGAATGAGAAACCCGACGGTACCACAGCAAGTACTCCGGATCGGCCTCCCCTCGATCATCTGTGGCGACCCTACACAAGCTGGTGTTGACAGTCTGCGACATCGGGAACTGGTTCCACATATTTACCGCGCCGACATCAGGATGCTCGACTTTGTACAACCTCGACTGCCAAGCACAGTAATAATTGTTAGTTAATCATTCACGATTATAAAATTCTAATTAATCGTGTATAAAATTCTAAATAATCATCTATACTACCTGCCAAGCACGGTTTACAGCGGTCGGCGTCTGTATAGGGGGAGGGATGGTCTGGACATACCCCAACTGCCGCAGAAACCGTACAGGATAGTACGGTTCGACAATATCGCGGTACCGAATCAGTCCGCAATAAAGAGTCCTCTGCTCTATCTCATCTGGCCATGAGCTGCTGTATGGCGTCCATTGCACCTGTTCACAATGGCATAAAAGCATTTATAAGAATATTTATATTATTTTAAATAACGAGTAACTAAATTAAATAACTTAACGTACACTGGAGGCAGTGAGTCTGTCCAGCTTACGACGGATAGACATCAGACGGTTCTCTGACCTATGACCCGTCCCTGCGTTCCACACCCGCGCTCGTGCGGACTCGTTAGGTCCGAGAGGTAAACGCCCCTCCTGGGGTCGGAAATCCGGGAAATACTCGTAAATCCAAGACTGCAGAAGAGTCAAGCAGCCGGAAAGTTGTTTGGAGTCCCTCTGCTGGCAATACCTAACTGTCGGTATAAATATGCCAGCGTAGCCGACCCCCAGGAGTAACCTCCAATGGCATCCAAGCCGTCGAGCACCTCATGTAGGAGCTTCGGACTCACTCTACTACCACTCTTGTCTACGAACAACGTGGTAGCCAGCAGCACCCAAATCCAGGCACCAGCCTCATCTGAAGCCAACTTATTTTTACCTCTAAAGATCTCCCCAACAGAGGCTTCGGCCACCGAACCACGCTGCCACACGAACGCAATTAGGTCAGGCTTCGTGACCGAAAGTATCTCCATGCAGTAAGCCTGGCATGCCTCTGAATCCGGGTCCTCAACGACCACACCTCCCTCAACAGGAATGTCCAAAATGGCCCGGACATCGTGCAACATAATGCTCATCTCACCAAAAGGCATGTGAAACGAGTTAGTATCAGGCTGCCATCGCTCCACAAATGCAGTAATCAGTGGAGTGTCCAAGTGGGCATGCATGGAGTCTACCAGATGTGACAGCCCGGTCTGTCTAATCAGATCAAGTGCCTAGGCAGACATTTCACCTCGCCAAGCTTTCAGATTTTCTACAGCCCGCTGCCTGTTCTGGCATTTCAGTAAGTCTCGCATCTGTCCACTCCACATTCGGGAGGCTACGTGCCCTTGAAAGCTAGGGATCACACTCCCATCCATGGGCCCACCGGGAACTGGACCTCTAACGATCCAGTCTGCCCCATCATCAGTCCTAGATCGTTTGCTAGTACCTACATTAGAATAGAAAAGACAAATATATAAATACATAATTGAAATAATGCGATTAAGTCGAAATATTAATGTCAAACGAAATAAAAATACTTAAATTATTTACCTGAGGATCCAGTGCTAGCAAAACGCGCACCAGCCTGTCGTGGAATAGCAGGCCGAACAGGAGCCGTAGGCTGTGCAGGAACCGCAGGCTGTGCAGGAGACGCATGCTGTGTAGGAGGTGTATGCTGAGCAGGAGGTGTATGATGCGGTGGGAGTCCAGGATCGTACGCATCGTCATATGATGCGGCTCGTCAGAAGACTGCTCCGTCTGGGCTACCGACTCATCAGCATAATATACCTGCTGACCGTGCGGTGCTGGTGCACGAGGTATCGAACTGCCTGCCTGGCCAGCATAATAATATCTATGCTGATCATGATCGTACAGTAATGGTCCGGGGACGGGGACTCTAGAACTGCCTGCCTGGCCATACCCTTGCTGACCAACCGGTACCGCTGGTGCGTGAAGTCTCGAACTGTCGGACTGGCCAACCTGACCAGTTTGTAACATCCGAGCCTCTTTGATCGCCTCCTCCCGAGTGCGGCGACCGGACGCAGTTATACCCCGACTTATAACGTGTCGGTCTCCAGAACCATGCATAATATTGTCGGCCGGGTCCTCACGGTCAGCTTGTTCAGGTATACGAATACCCTAAATGAACAATTTAAAGTAATAATTAGTAAATATTTTTTTTTATTTATATAATACGTTAATTACATATATTCATTTATATTAATTTATATATATGTTTTTATACATATGTAATATTTTTTAAATTTTTACATATATTAATTTTATAAAGTAACTAGTTTATTTTATATTATAATTATTATTAATTAAATGCTAATATTTTAATTTTATAACATTCAAATAAATATATTACAATATTTTTTACTTTATTAATGTGATATATTTTTCTTTTATATTATAATTATTATTATATTTATTATTATGCTAATATTTTTAGTTTTTAAATATTCAAATAAATATATTATAATATTTTTTTCTTTATTAATGTAATATTTTTTTCTTTTATTTCATAAATATTTTTACTATAATTTTTTTTACGTTTTTTAATTATTTATATATAATTTTTTATATTTTTTTCTTTTAGAATAATTATTTTTATTATTTAATTATAATATAATTAAAAAAAAAGCGTCCGGCCGGTTCGTCACCGGCCGGAGGGGCCGGTTTTGTCACCGTACGACCGGCCCCATAAGTCGCACGTGAAGGCGACCGTGCGGCCCGGTCCGGCCGCACATTTCAAAGGGCGACCGGTCAAAAAGATCGGTTGCCCGCGGGCCGTACGGTAAAGGC